ACATAATCTGAGAACTACTGCCATGCCCCATGTGCTATATTCTTCCCAATCTCTTTTTCCATTTCCACCCATTTCTTCAGTTCCTCCACTGTAATCCTCATCCTCATCATTCTCATTACTCCTATGCCTCAGTAAAATCAGAGCTTTAATCTTTGCCACAACCCTGATGATGATCAGTCGGAGTCTTGTTAATATCGATTGAATCCTTACCTAAGCAACCTGCTGAAAGCGTAGGATCTAGTGGTGCGTAAGGCCAGACATGAGTTAAGAGTGACAAATACGCTTCTAAAACTTGATTTTCAAAATGCAGCAGTTCCATAGTTAATCAGTGTAATAACATATCTTGAAATAGGTGTGATCTCAATAGTATCCTTAATTTGGAACCAGGAGAACATTGTGAAGACGACTTAATAGGATCAGCTGCTTCAGTAATGATGATGCTGTCAAGCTTGAACTTCATTTCCTGTAGGTTCCTCTATTTGTCTTCTCCAAAACCATTGCTCCTCCTATGCCTGTGTTTCTTAATTCTTGCTTTTCTGGTTATTAAAATTGACAAAAGTGTTCCTTTGCTGCTTGATGATTGAAAATGTACACATGAGAGGGCATAGATCACTTGGCCTTTTTAAAGATCTCCAAGAATTGCTGAGTTTATATTTTTACTGGGTATGTGAAGATATTTTTCTTTTGCTTTTCTTTTTTTCTTATTTTACCATAGGGTGAGATGTTCTGAGCACTTCTAGGGTTCTCGGTCCCATTGTACACATGAGTAAGCTGAGGAGGCTGATTTGCTCGGGGACATCTAAACTTGTGACAGACTTGAGATCTCAACCCAGGAGTGGTTAACTCCAAGGCATATAGATATTATGTCTTCAGTGTTAAACACTATACATTAAATATCATCAAGTTTAGTTTATGTATTATCCATTTAATATAACATCAGAAATTTGTTAAATTAATAGATGTTTTAGACCTAATTTTGGTAAAACTTGCAAGTTACTTGTATATTAAGAACATGAAATATCCTGTCTCTTACAACATTTGACATTGAGCACTTTCATTCCCATTGCATGGCGTATTTGTTTCTTCCCCGTTTCATCCTTGATAAAGTCCATTCACTCATGTTTTCGGTTGATCCTCCCACTTTAGTGTGACAGGTGCAAGAGCAGGTGCCTGAGTCCTTCTGACCCTTTTGTGGCTGGAGTAGCCTTCAGGGAATGAGGCCAAGGAGAAATCTAATGCTTTCTCTTTACACTGGTTCCAGTTTTTAAATGAGCTTTGTGTATCAGATTTCAGGAATATTTTTTAATCCAATGTAATTTTTCATGCGTTGTTACCTCTTTTGTGTCCCTTTCTGCCACTGTGACGGATTCAGAGCTATTTCTGTAACCAAGCTACAGAAGCATATAGTATTTTATGATTGTCTGCTCTAGGGAGTGTTTTGTCAACAAATCCCTTTCCTCCATTCTTAGCCATTTGGAGTGAAATAATGAGAAAAACAGCTTGTTCTTAACTAAGGCAATTACTCTTGTTAGCCCTGTACCTTCTTGGAGGTTTTTGTGGTTTTTTATAATTATTAACACAAGTTAATTTCTTTACTGGCATTATCTAGCAGAGCATAGCAGTAGTTCTTTGATCATGTAATAATGATGCTTTTCAAGAGAGATGATGTCCCCATCAGGTCTCATGTCAGGTCTCCATAAAATTTCTACATTTAAAACTTCAAAGAAGTATTAAACAGTAAGTTTAGTTGTAACTTTGCTAATCTATAATCACCTCCTATATTTCAGTGGTGTCTTAGAATAAAATCAATATTTTTATGTATTTTAAAGTTTTGCATCCATTGGGAATTTTATTAATATTTTTGATAGCCATAAAGCATATTTCACCACGTTATCTCTTTTACCTTTTATTTTTGTGTAAAATCTTAAAATAACAGTAAGTCAGAATAATAGACAAAATCTTAACTAAGTTGTTCCAACTACTGTGAATTCCCATTAAGAGCTGGGACTTATTAGTCTAGCATCTGTATAAACGCTGTTTGACAGATTCAGTAATTGACATAGCAAGAGTCAATACCCATCTTTATAGCTCCAGAAGTAAGGGCTTCTAATAGAATGACATTTACCCCCATACCTGTTTGTTACTAGGAGCATGTACTAGGATGCTCATGTTCCAATGAATCATATCAAATGAACCAACTGAGGATTCTGCAAAGCTTGATTCCAGGCTCTTCATAATTATTTGTCAGTTGATCGTGTTAATGACTTTGGCTTGGGGGGATACACCCCTTGAGAATGTGTTAGTTCATTAAAATAGGGTGTTTGGATTAAATTTCATTACTCTATATCCTACATTCCTCTGAGTATTTCCTTCGTAGCAGTTATCACAGTCTAACTCCCTTTTATAAAACAGATTTATATGCTTGTTTTGCATTTTCTTCTCCAGACTATAAGGTGGAAGATAGAGCTTGTTTCTTTCTTTCATTGCTGTATTCCTGTTGCTCCAGACAGTATCTGGCTCACATTGGCCCTCAGTAAAATATTTAGTCATTGGCCTTCAGTAAAATATTTAGTCAGTGAACAGTAATCATGAACATGTCAAATGAATTTTGATACATATTGAATAAATGGACATTAATAACTATTGGCTTCTATATCAGCTTTTGTACTCGTGAATAAGGATATAAATAAAAGATATTGTGTTGTCTCTACCCTCAAGATGTTTACATTGGAAGTAAAATAAGGAATACGTTGTGATACACTATGGTTGGGGCAGTAAAAAGTCAGAAAACGTCGTAGGATTAAGCTGAGAGAGTGGGACTTCACAGAGGATCAAGTGGCAGTTAAGTTGGATGCATTGCTCTTGTTTTTATGTGAATATAGGCATACAAATACAACCCTCCTACTACTTTTAGAGTCTATCATCTTAAAAGAGAGGCCCGTTTTGGAATTAAAACAATAAAAGTGCCAACATTTTTAGTGCTTGCCATGTGCCAGGCACAGTTTCGGGAACGTGTTTATTATTGAAACTTAATCTCCACAATATTAAAAAAAATAGACCCTTATTATCCGTTTTTATACAGAAAGGAAGCGGAGATACTGAGATGTGAAGTTTCAGCCCAGGTACTCACGGTCAGCATTTGAAGTCCTGTCCCTCATCTGTGTATTTGCTGTGGTTGCTTCACCCTGTGGTTCCAGGGTTGGGATCTGGTGGATTTCCAAAGGCCTGACTTTTTTTGTAAAGTGAACCAGCATGCATGGACTGAACTTCTTCTAAACCCTCTTCAACCCCCATAATTATACATCGTGTGCAGTGTATTGGATACCAAACGGGATTGAAATCTCAGCTGAGATCTTCTGGGATGATCAAAAGACATCTGTTAAGACAGCCCTGGCTTTCTGGCTTCACACTGGGGCTTAACGCCTTTCAATGCTTACTTCTTGATTAGAGGTCCAGCCAGCTTGCAAATTCTCTGATCTTACCTCTGGAATGTTTCTGTTGTTCTTTCTGCCACACCTCTCCCTCTTGGGAACATTTTGCTCAATACAAAATCCTCTTGATACCAGTACCTCTCATTAGCCCTGGACAGTTCAATGTATTTCTCTGAGGTGGGATGTACAAGTCACAGTAAACAATAGTCGGTTGACTTTTCCGTGGCATTGCCTGGCAGATGTTTACATCTGTAAGTTATGAAGTGAGTGAAAAAAAAAGAATCCCATAAATGAAACAAATAAAAAAAACAAGCAGTGGGAAAGTGCATTTATTTTATCGAATTGGATCTTAAAAGCATTCACTGAGTTGGGAGAAAGGGAAGAAGCAGTTCATTCAAGGCAGAGGAAACCATGTGTACAAGGGGATGGGGGTGAGATCACACAACATATACAAGGACCTTGCAGTAGCTGGACATGCCTAGAATGTTGAACATGAGCAGAGACTAAAGAGGTAGACAGTGTGTATTTCTTCCTTTTTTCTTTTCTTCTTCTTCTTTTTGAGACAGTCTTGCTCTGTCACCCAGGCTGGAGTCTGTGGCACAATCTCAGCTCACTGCAACCTCCACCTCCTGGGTTCAAGCGATTCTCCTGCCTTAACCTCCTGAGTAGCTGGGATTACAGGCATGCACTACCACGCCTAGCTCATTTTTTGTATTTTTAGTAGAGACAGGGTTTCATCATGTTGGTCAGGTTGGTCTCGAACTCCTGAGCTCAAATAATCCACCTGCCTCGGCCTCCCAAAATGCTGGGATTATAGGTGTGAGCTGCTGTGCTTGGCTGGCAGTGTGTATTTCTTAATAATAATAGTTTCGTTTAAGCTAATGCATGCAGAAAAATAAGTGTTTGTAAATGGTTTGCTAGATGAACAGTCAAGATCTTTATATTCTGGTACAGTGTGACATCTTTCCTTCTCGCTCTCTCTCTTTTTTTTTTTAAATGGAGTCTCACTCTGTTGTCCAGGTTGGAGTGCAGTGGCACAATCTCGGTTCACCACAACCTCCACCTCCTGGTTTCAAGTGATTCTCCTACCTCAGCCTCCTGAGTAGCTGAGATTACAGGTGCCAGCCACCACACTCGGCTAATTTTGTATTTTTAGTAGAGATGGGGTTTCTTCATGTTGGCCAGGCTGGTCTTGAACTCCTGACCTCAGGTGATCTGCCTGCCTCAGCCTCCTAAAGTGCTGGGATTACTACACGCGTGATCCTTCTATTTAATTAATCTAATTGACTGCCTTTTCCTCCCTTTGAGATACCACCCGGCAGTCTTTTTGCCAGTGATGTGGTGGCCGCTTACATATGCTCTTTTGAGCTAGGTATTACCAAATGGCTATACTTGAATGTACTGTTCGTAGCTAAAGATGTTTTCATGAGAAACAAGTAAAGTGCCTGTTGGGTTCTCATATGGAATTGGAGACTGAAGGCCAGTTTCACCCTCTCATTAGGATTTTGATTCTACAAAATAGTTTGTTGGTTTTACTGACCTTTCTTTTTTCTCCTGAACCCCTGCTAGCTAGGTGATGTGATGGTTGACATCGCAAGTAACATCATGTTGGCTGATGAACGCGTCCTGTGGCTGGCTCAGAGGGAAGCTAAAGCCTGCAGTAGGATTGTGCAGTGTCTCCAGCGCGTTGCTACCTACCGGCTAGCCAGTGGAGCTCACGTTTATTCAACAGTAAGTGTAACATTATCAGAGACTCCTGAGAACAAAGTGTATTTCACGCAGCTCTCTCCTGAAAGAGATAGGTGTCTTCTCCATTATGGGGTGGCTATCTTCCCTAATTGCTGATTATTGCAGAGTTTCTTTACTAAAATGTTTTAAAAGTTAATTTTGCTTTTGAGTAATGTTTCCTTGGGAACTGGAAAATATTTGTTAATCTGTAATTGGAATGTTTATCACCATCAAATCCACCGAAACTGTTTCTGCAATGGAAAATAAGACTATTGTATTGCCCCACTGGCACATACCCATGGTCCATCTGAGCTAATATTCTGTTCTGGGCCCTGAAGGATATTTTGAGAGAATGTCTGATTGGTTGCCCAGGTTTCAGTCTCAGAAGAGAACTGGGATGCCCTCCAACACCTGTGAAGCTATTGGCATTTTCCATCAATCCCACTCTTGGGATAATGAGTTATTAATAAATAATGATCATTCAGTTAACTAGTATTAAATTTTATTTATGCTAAATTGAACTGTGGTGAAGTTCTTGATATATTGCCTACTTGTTTTGTCCTGAAAAGGTGGTGGAAATAGTAAATAATGAGTTACTCCCTTAGCAGCCATAGTTTGGTCCACGATTTTCATTTCCTAATTATTTTAGTGGGCTGACCTAGTGTAGAATAGTCTACACTTCCTCCTGTGATTTTACACAGTTCAAGATTACTATTTTCCTGTTGATTTCTGAGACTTTTTTAATGTTACCACGTTTTATTGCTCCCTTTGCTCAATTAAGTTTAATATTTCTTTCCTGAATAATAAATAAAATGAAGCCTCAGCTTGGCTACTGTCTTTGTTTTTTATTGCTGTAGGTCTTTTATTTTTAATTTTTGTATTTATTTATTCATTTATCTATTTTTGAGCCTCACTCTGAAACCCAAGCTGGTATGATCTTAGCTCACTGCAGCCTCCGCCTCCCATGTTCAAGCAATTATCATGCCTCAGCCTCCCAAGTAGCTGGGATTACAGGCGAGCACCATTATGCCTGGCTAATTTTAGTATTTTTCGTAAAGACGGGGTTTCATTATGTTGACCAGGCTGATCTTAAACTCCTGACCTCAAGTTATCTGCCTGCCTCAGCCTCCCCAAGGATTTTGGGATTATAGGCATGAGCCACCACAAAGAGGAGTTTCCCAGATTTGTGACCTCATTTGAGGCTAGCTTGCCATGTTTATGTCCTCCTCGGCCATTAAGATCCATTTTAAATCTCATCCTTTAGCCATGCTTATTAATCAGCTGGACGAACTTTCTCCTTTTCTCTGAACTGCACTGGTTTTTCTGATAACCCAAGGGTACAATAAAGGTCATAGTAGGAATTTGCATACCCCGTCAACGTGTAAACAGAGTTCCAGGAGATGATATATCTACTTACACTAAGTAAAATGATACGGCTTCACAGGTGCCTCACAGTGACAGATTTCTTTCTTTCAACCAAGGTTTCATGTGTTGGGCATGGTGACTGCTGCTTGTCAGAAGGTCTGGTGGTTGTTTACATGTGTGTTTGAAATTCGAATACTCATTACTAGTTAACAAATTGAATTAATAAAACTTTTCACAATGTTTGCATTGTGAGGCAAAAACTAATACAAAGATTCTTTATGCTTGAAATGTTTGGGAACCACTGTTTATTTTCTATCACATGTAAAGCACTTGCCAAATTCTGCTTAACTTTTTACATTTTTAAGTTTGTGTCTTATTTTCTAATAGATTTTAAGCATCATGCACCAAAGTTTCATGCTTTAAAGAAAAAGAAAGACATCCATAGGTAATACTTAGAATGGTGCCTTGCCTGTGGGAAAGGCGTATACTTAATCATCCTTAAAGGAGGGAGATGCCATGTTGTCCCTAGAATCCTGTCACCCTGCTGGATGGGAAGGTGTGGCTCCTTGTCACTTCTCACACCCACTCTGTCCTCCATCAAGTCGCCCTGGTGGCTGCCTGTATTGACAAGTCATATGTTTTGGTGGTTCCCTTTCGTTCATTCTTATTCCTGAATTCCTTTAAAACTCTGTGGCATATTTTTCAGATGATTTTTCTGACCTAATTTGCTTTTTTTTTTTTGAGACCGAGTCTCATTCTGTTGCCCAGGCTAGAGTGCAGTGGCACAATCTCAGCTCACTGCAACCTCTGCCTCGTGAGTTCAAGCGATTCTCCTGCCTCAGCCTCATGAGTAGCTAGGACTACAGGTGTGTACCACCACACGTGGCTAATTTTTTGTATTTTTAGTAAAGATGAGGTTTTACCATGTTGACCAGGCTAATTTGCTTTATAAATCTGTTCATTTCCTATTATTTAAACTAACATTTCTCTTCCTTTTCTGAAGAAACAGCTTTGGAGAGAATCTTTTTAAAGCTTTTATTGGTAAAACTTAATGCAAAGAGTTAATGATCTTTATATAAAGGAAAAAAGTGAATTTGGCCAGATGTGTTTGAGTGCATTTCCCAAACTCTAATAATTAGCTTTCATTCTTCCTGTAAGTTGAGCATTTAGAGGGTCTACTGATATCTCTAGCTGATTTTATTTTTTTTTTAGGAAACTTCCATTGTTAGCTTATTTCCTTCAAAGTGCTCCTTAAATTATTTTTAATTGACTTCTTAGACCTGATCTTCCATACTTCATGACTTCTTTTCCTCTTGTTTGGTCTCCCTTCTATTTTAGGACACCCTTTTCATTCCAGGGTCTTTTTCATTCTGCCAGTTACCTACACAGTGATTTTGTTTAGGAAGAACCTGGGCTTTCTGGTTTGACTGATGCATTGTGTTTTGTGTTTGAAAAGTCTTTGAAAGTGCTTTTTTTTTGTTCTATAAATCATTCATAACTCCTGTTTGATTGACTTTTGAAGTATTCACCCAATATTGCTCTGGAAGCTTATGTCATCAAGCCCACTGGCTTCTCGGGGATGACCTGTACCGTGTTCCAGAAAGTGGCAGCCTCTGATCGTACAGGATTTTCGGATTATGGGAGGCGGGATCCAGATGGAAACCTGGATAAACAGCTGAGCTTTAAGTGCAATGTTTCAAATACATTTTCGAGTCTGGCATTAAAGGTATGTTCCATTCTGCACTCATTTAAGACTATTTACAGTTAAATTAGAGTGCTCCAAATGTTCTGCTTTGCAAAATAACCTTATCAAAAGATCTTTTTGCAGGGAGATAGGTCTTACTGGTTTTTGCTATTGTTTTAAAGAAAACTGACCAGGAGGAACTGCGTTACAACTTTCATAGGCTCTAGGCTTTTTTGCCTTTTGGTTCCCTTTCTCCCAACAAAAATAACGAAAATTACATTTTATAACTGCAGTAGTATAAACACAAATATACTAATTTAACATGTTAAAATATTTTATTTGACTTAAACGTTTATTTCTTTTTGCTCCTGATTTTAAGACAGTATGATGTTTTCACTGGCCCCTAAAAGTATCGTGAGCCTTTGGCACTGTGCCTGCCAAGCCTAGTGGAAAAGTCAACCCCAAGGCCAGGCGTTTAATAGGCAAGCTGTATATCAAAGTTTTTGGTAGAAAATACAAATGTGTCATATATGTTAAAAAAAAAAAGTGTTTCATTAAAGCAAACAAAATGAAAGCATTTTTACTGATGTTTAAAATTGGGGGTTTAAATATATTTGACTACACTGCATTGAAGCAATCCTGCATATTTGAGAATCTCTGGCCTTCCCTCAATACTACCCCCTAAGCCTGCTTTGCACTCCCATCCTCTATTGCCCAAACCACTGTAACTTCCTAGTTAGTCTCTGTGTCTCTAGGCTGTACCTTAAAAATTCATCTTTCTCACACAGATTGGTCAGCCTAGGGCTGACATTTGGCTAACACGTATCAGTACAATGATGCCACATAGTAAGATATTGATATACTTCCTTACCATTTAGCAAATAGCTGCTGCCACAGTTCTCTGTGTGCAAATAGTGGATCCAAAACTCCAGCACCCTAATGGCACCACATATTTTTCGTTTAGCGTTCTGTGGGCATGTGTAATTGTATCCTCTGCGGTTTTTAATTTCACAGTACTTTGTTTCTGCCTTGTCCCTGAATAATACCACAAACAGTATTCCAGTCATTTTAATGGCTTCATAATAACTGATCTGATAGGTGTTAGGTGTTCTGGTTTAGTTTGAGCACTCAATAAATATTGAATGAATGAATGAATTAGTGTATTTTTGTATACTTTTTCCTGGTGACCACTATTTAAGAGAGCCAATTTGCTAAATTTAGAAAATCTCAACTAGGTCACAATGTCTGATAATAATATATTTACTTGATACCCTATACTCAGAGGAGAATTGGCAAGATTTGCCTGTTAATATTGGTGCTAAGAGAGATTGTGTACTGCCCCACACTCCTGTAGACCTGCTCAACTTTCCTTATTATGTCTTATATTGGGCGGGGGGGAGGGGAAGAAACATACTATAAAAGACTAGAAACAGCAACACAGACAAGCCCATGAGATAAATGTGTTTTTTTTTTTTTTTTTTTTGAGGAACTCTTAAAATTGATGAACACTTCTGTCTTAGATGATCAGTTGGTAGAAAGCGATTAAAAATGATGAAACCCTACATTTCATCAGTTTCACAACTTACCCCTCTGGGTAAAGAGTTTCTACTTGCTAAAGTAGAGGGCTTTAGATGGACTCTTAGATTTGTCAATTTCATGCTATTCTATCCTTTTAAGATCATTCTGTGGCCAGAGAGCAAGGACACAATGTTATTCGTATTATTTGTGCTTCATAGGTGGACACGGTTAAACTGAATGAAAAAGGAATGCATCTCTCATGACACAAATTAGTTAAAAATTCTGATGTTAATGGCATAAAATGTACTTTAGCACTTGAACAGAAAAGGAACTGTACGATTTAAATTTTATACTAGGGCCATTTTTGATCTTTCTGTGCATTCTTTAAAAAATAAATCCCTTGAATATACTAACTAGAAAACCTGAACATCTGAAAACTGATTGCACTGCCTTTAAATGGGAGCATATGCTAGTATGTGAAGTTAAACCCATAAAGAGGCAGTCATTACTTAGCAATAGGTGCCTCCTTGATTTGCTTCCTGCATATTTCAGAATCTCTGGCCTTCCCTCCATACTACCCCCTAAGCCAGCTTTGCACTCCCATCCTCTGTTGCCCAAACCATTGTAACTTCCTAGTTAGTCTCTGTGTCTCTAGGCTGTACCTTAAAATTCATCTTTCTCACACAGATTGGTCAGCCTAGGGCTGACATTTGGCTAACACGTATCAGTACAATGATGCCACGTAGTAAGATATTGATATACTTCCTTACCATTTAGCAAATAGCTGCTGCCACAGTTCTCTGCGTGCTTCCTTGGCCCTCCTGATCCTTCCATCAGGACCACCACACAGAACTGTTTTCACCATTTCGCACCTGAAGGCCTGGTGCCTGCAGAGCAGGAGGTCTCTGGGAGCCTTCCCCTCTGTGCAGGCTGTTCTGATTGTCAGTGCCTGTACCGTTTCATGTTGTTAATGTGAGCATTCTACCCAGATCCACCCCAAATGGAAATTGACCTTGTGCACCCCTTCATAAATGCGTCATGTCTCTCCAGAGACTGTTGAATAGCTTCATCATTTGATGTCTTCCCTCTCTCTCCACAGCACTTCCTACCTCTTCCTTTGCTGTCCAGCGACAGCAAACTTTCCTTGGTTTCTCTTCCTACCCCCTGGTCATTCTCAAGCAGGCTCCTATTAATTCTCCTACCGGAATCCCTGCTTTTTCCCTCCCTTCCCAGCTCCTTGGTGATAACACTCAGCAGAAATGTCACTCCAAGAAATTTTACCTAATCTCATCCAGATCTCCACTCCCACCCTCATCTCCTTTATATTTCCTCCTCGTTTTCCCATAATACTTTGTTCTTCTCTCTCTCATTGCCTGTCACACATGGGAACCTGGGAGCCAAGATGGGTTTCTTGGTTGCCTGAGGGCAGCACTAGTGATGGAGTCATCAGTGACTTCGTGACCTGGCTTCAGTTGGTCACCAGTTGGTGACAGAATTGCCTGATACTTGCCTCTTACTGACGGCATCAGTCAAATCTCTTCCAATTTTTTTCTCAATGAAATGTTTCCTGTCACTGTAGATCCCATAGTTCAGATATGTTAGCATAACAAAATGATACCTGTTTTCAGTGATCTACTTTAGTTTTACTGAGATTTTGGAAATTAGCTGGTGTTTTGAGTTCAAGTATAGTAGAGCCAAAAAGAAAAATTCATTAGTTCTTTGTTATTTACTTGATCAGAATTATCAGTTTTTCTTTATACATCCCAGACATTTAGAGCTTTATTCCACCCAAAGTCTCTTGAATTTTTCAGGCTAGTCATTACGCATCTTCCTGCTTCCTGCCTTCAATTTTGCCCTTTTCCAGTCCATCCCTGCTTGGCGAAATTCCTGCTCTTCTCTTTCTAAAATTGCATTTGGATTCTTCCTTCAGTTCCTCAGACAGAATTAACCATTGCCTATTAATCCCCTTGGGTTTTGTTCATTCTTCAGAATAATTATAAGGTGATACAGTGATGGAGCGAGCTGCAGCAAGAAGCCATATGATGCGGTGACTAAGACTGTGGTTTCTCTGCAGCCAGACACTCTGGGTTTAGGTTCTCTCCCTGTTAACAGCTGTGCAAACGTGGGCAACTACCTTTACCTTTCTGAATGTCAGTTCCTCAGCTGTTATGTAGATCCTGAAATGGTGCTTAACTCGAAGGGTCGTTGAGAGGGTTAAGTGAGGTAAATATGTAGACATTCACCGCAGTGCCTGGCGCAGAGTAGCCCTCAGTAAGTGGTAGCTCTTATTGTTTTGTTACTGTTATCTCTTCTTTTTTAGATTATGAATTTTGGAGGACAGGGACCACAGCTAATATATTGCATTGTATGTCTCCAGGTTCTGTGTAGTTCCAAGCCCAGAGTAACTAACCATTCAATAAGTATTGAATAAAGTTAACAGTCAAACTTAATTAGCAGAGAAAGTCAGTTAAGAAATTAATTGTGAAGTCAAATGTAATTGATATTAATCTTCAGCAGTGAGAAAATCAAAATGTGGTATGCAGTTAATAATTATACACCATAAGATCATTAGGATATATTACAGTATCTGTTTAAAGTCAAGTAAGTGGTCAAGAAAAACAGATACATGAGGATTTTATTGTTTTGAATCAGATGCTTCTTCGGCTCATTCTGATTTTCATACTAGAATTCTATAGATTTTAACCCACAAAGATATCTGAAAATTTTATTAACTACATAAGGGAGGAAGTCCAGACTTTTTGATAAGAAAAAATATTAGAATCTAGTGAAAGTATTTGACTTAACCTCCATTATGCTTCTTATCATATTCCTTTTAGTTTCATGTCATTATAAATAGTGAAATATAGATGAATTTAGCAAAAACAAAAAAGATCTGTGTCATTTCATGTGTGTTCACATTTCATCAATTTTTCGTGTTAAAATGGATACTGAAACTGAATGGTAGAAGTCGAAACATGAGGACGTCCAAGATTGTTTTTGGCAAGTTAGTTAAGGCACTACCTCTCCCCGAGTCCCCAGATAACCATCTTCCACCGAGCTGCAGTAACACGGTGAGCAGATACCACCGCCAGCTCCCTAGCCTTTTGGGCTTGTCATGTTCATGATCCCATCTTGTCTTCACAACCATTTGTTAGAAAGATCATTAGCTGTGTTTGACAGACAAGACTCAGAGAGGTTAAACAACACTATACACTGTTAACCAGATGCTAAATGGTGAGGCTGGGACCCGAATCCTTTGTTATTTCAGATCCCATGTTCTCTCCATGGCATATGATTTTTCAGTGGTAAATATTGGAAACTGAAAACTTGTTTTTCCCAAAGGATCTAAAAAGGGATTTTTCTGCTTTATTAACTCTCATTCATGTGTTTGTTATCTATTTCCATTGCTGTATCCATATTTACTTTGCGCTTGCCACCCTTGGGCCAAGTAGAAAAGGTGTAATCATGATAAATGCACCAAATTAAGTAAGTGTTTTGCTGTGACTAATACATTTAAAACCTCTCTGTAAATAATGATAAACATTTCTTTTAAAGAAATTAAATGCACAAGTGTTACATTGTTACTATAAAAATCTAAAAAAATCTACACATCGATAGGGCTGAAGTTTGCCTTACTGGCACCCCTAGGCCACTCTCTATATCCCAGAGAACCTGCAGTATTATTTAGTAATGTTTTATTGGATTTTTAGAGGCCATAAGTGTGTAACAGCCATGAGCATATAGCTCTGGCCCCACCGTAATATGCCCATACTCCTGGGATTTTTTTTTTAATTGTTCTTTTTTAGTTGGTTTTACAAATTTAAACTCGTGTAGGAGACCTTTTTTAATTTCTAGAAAGTACAGATGTCATTTCCTTTTTTAACTTTCTTTTAGAAAATTGAAATGACTTCTTGTAAACCAATTTGATTTATCGTGACTAATACTTCCCCAAAGAGCTACGCTTTGTTTTCAAGTCATTTTGTGTGTGACAATATTATTTTATGAATTTTATAGTTTTTGAGTTCTAATAAATGTGCATTATGTGGTACTTTATCAGGATTTTGAACTTTTAACTAATCCATTTTCTCTCTTTGCATGTGTTATTATGTACTTAGGAGAAATTTATGTACTGAATAGAAATCTAGATTAGTGAATAAATTTATAACAAACTTTTTTTCACATTAGATTATATTTTTGAGTGAGAATAGCAGAAACCTCTTTTATACATTTTCTCTAAGAAAATATTTCTACTAAATATTTTCTTGGCATCTTCAATTTAAAAGTTATATTCAAACTTCCAAAATACTTACGTTGAAAACATATTTATAGGTATCTGCTATGACCTAACATTGTTAATTTTAAAATCAATCATTTGCTTAAGTAGAATCATTTTTAAAATAAACATACCATATAGACATTGTTCATTTCATAACCAGCGAGCTATTTTGATTAAATACGAGTGCTAGGAACCATTAACACAGAGGTTTGAAAAAGGGAATTAGATTGTCTCCACCCCAAATCCTCATACTCTGGTTAGAGGAACAGACAGTGAGCTGCACCATGGGGCTGCAAGTGTGCCTTATGAATAACGTGTGGGGAGTGTTGTGTGAGTCCAGAAGAGGGAGCAGCTAAACTGGAGAAGCAACACACTAAGGAGATGTAATTAACCGTCCATAAAAGCCGTATATCAAGGACTCTGGGTAAAGTCTTCCCTCTGACTCCTAACCTTTTTTATTCTGATCCACTTTCCATTATGCCAGTTTAAAAGTTAGTGAGACAAAAGAATAGTGGAGCATTTCAGGTAGAGATGCTGGTCTGTGCAGTATGTAAAAAGAATGTAGAAGAACTTGAATTGATAAGCTCAGTGTAGCTGTGTTTTAGGTTGTGATATAGGAGTGTTCAGAAGAAATATCTGAGAAATAGATTTTCATCAAATTTTATGGCGAACTTAGGATTTGGGGGCAGTATTATTTAAACATTGCAAAACCAAGGTGTTATTTAAACTGGAATAACATGATTCGATTTGTTTCTTAAGGGGAAATTCTGTTGAATATGGAATTGAAGGAAGAGAGGCTGGAGGCCAACAGAAAGTTTTGTAATAAATTCTTCAACTATGGAATGTTTTTAGATGGTTAATTGTTTGCTTCTTCGGTGTATAGATTTTTTTTTACTGAATGCTGAATAATTTATTATTTAAAAATCCTCAGTAAAGAAATCTGAAAAGCATTCATTATCAGTCAGCATTTTCAGTTGTTCCTTTGTGTTATTATGTGTTTTTTCTAAATGTGTTTGCTAGTCTCAAGGAAATTTCTTTTAAGTTTACTGAATCTAAACCTCTATTATGTTTGTATAATTTCATTCTTTTGTTGTTTGATGGTTTGAATTCATCATAAATCACCTTAAAGTTTCATAAGCCCAAATTAATTATGCTCACATTTGTGATATGCTACATGTGTGCTTCTTTATCATGTTTTATCAGTGTAAAATTGATAGAGCATGATTACTGAGATCCTTGATGTGTTTAATGCTGTCTGCTTCAACATATGAATGATATCATGGGAAAATTAACTTTGTAATTGGAAACACTTTTCTTGTTTACTTATTTAACTGTTTAGAGTTTGCATTTCTGTTTTATGCTTCTATTAATCTATGTTGTTATGTGGTATTGATATTTCATTTAACTGATGATTTTTTTAACTATTAAATTTTGTATGTACAATTTAAAAAATGAAGTCAACCTAGTTAGACCATTTTTGTAACTGTCTGACATATTTTTTTCTTATTTCTACATACTAATGTCGTGAGCTTTATGTGTGTGTGTGTGTGTGTGGGTGTATATATATATATATTTTTTTTTTTTTTTCTTTTTTTCAGAATACTATTGTGGAGGCTTCTATTCAGCTTCCCCCTTCCCTTTTTTCACCAAAGCAAAAAAGAGAACTCAGACCAACTGATGACTCTCTTTATAAGCTTCAACTCTTGGCATTCCGCAATGGAAAGCTTTTCCCAGCCACTGGAAATTCAACAAATTTGGCCGATGATGGAAAACGACGTACTGTGGTTACCCCTGTGATTCTCACCAAAATAGGTTTGTGTGTGACATGTGTCATCCTGTAGTCAGCTGACAATAAGGCCTTGTAGTTGACTGTTCCTAAAAATGCTCATTGTAGTGTTTTCTCATTTTAATGGGTCACTAGTGAAAAAAGATCTTGCAGAGTACCCATTACTGTATAAGTTGACATTTAATTGTTTATGATGTTTGTTTCAGAAATATTTGTATTTCCCATTTTCTCCAGATGGTGTGAATGTAGATACTCACCACATCCCTGTTAATGTGACACTTCGTCGAATTGCACATGGAGCAGATGCTGTTGCAGCCCGGTGGGATTTTGATTTGCTGAATGGACAAGGAGGCTGGAAATCAGATGGGTGCCATATACTCTACTCAGATGAAAATATCACTACGATTCAGTGCTACTCCCTTAGTAACTATGCAGTTTTAATGGTATGGTGGTTGTTAACTTTATGCATAAACACTATTCTAAATTTTTCCTGTGCATAATTAAGCTCTAATGATTTTTTTTTACTCTTAATGTAATTTGCTCCCTTTAATTATACGAGAAGATATTTGTTCTAATTCTGATTTTAAAGGGAAATTAAGTTACTACCAAGTGCAATGTATGGGATTGAATTTGGTATGTAGGAATTTTAAATTCACTTTATAAGTGAATCAGTTAAGCTAGACTTTGACCTTAAAACTTGGAGAGATCTTGATCAGATTCTCTCTGCCCAGAAAGAGTGATTTCATTTGCCCAAGGATACCCAGTGAGTAGTGAAAGATTTCCTGCTTTGCAATCTAGTGCTGTTTCCCACTGCATGTCGTCATTGATAGACTCTTATTTGAATTTAGCACTAATCACGATAATTTCATTTTTGTCATTGCAAGTGACAGTATTGACACAAAGAATATCTTTTCAGTTTTAATGCCAATCAATCCAGTGTTGTTTTCTGTTATTTGCCATTGTTAACACTTAATTACAGATTGAGTCTTATTTCTTAACTGAAATGCTTGGGACCAAAAAAGTTTTGGACTCTGGATTTTTTTCAGATTTTGGAATATTTGCATTATACTTAGCAGTTCACCATTCCTAATCCAAAAACCTGAAATCCTCCAAGGAGCATTGTCTTTGAAAAGTTTCAGATTTTGAAGCATTTTGGATTTGGATTTTTGGGTTAGGGATACTCAACCTGTAATTTTTTGGGGGTAAAATAACAGTTATTCATTTACAGAAACAAGTCTTTTTATTAATGAGGTCTTTAAATGAATCTGACTCCTGAGCAGGTAATTGTGAAATTAACCATGCTAGTTCTTATTTTATATTGTAATTATTATAAATACTGACATCATGGAGCATATTTGGAGTATAGTAGAAGGAATTACTGATGAGTGTGAAAGTCATTTCCCAGAAGTGGTTTGAGGTCAGTCTGATGTGAGGAACTTCTCTGTTATTTCTGATTCCCGCTGTAAGTCTGTTTTCCAGAAAATGTTTTATCAAAGTGCTAAATACCTTGAAACATGATATATTTTACATTTTGTGAATTTTCCTTTTTTCAAAATATAGCATTTAGCACCAGAAATGATCTTGAAGTAAGCCTGAATTATAAATAATTTTATTTGACTCTTGCTTTTGTTTTTCTTTTCTATTCAACTTATACCTTACCTGCTACACTGGTCAAGCAAGCAGAGAGGTGACTGGATTATTTAGCAGGGCAAAGGGATTATTTTTTCAGTGTCATAATTGAGCATTTTATATAAGTGCAGGCAAATATATTTAAACATGTATGTTATCTGGCCCAGCTGACAGTGGGTGGATTTTACGCTAGTTAGACTTGCTGTATTTATATAGGCCCTTTATTCCTTTGGGAGTAACTTTAGTGTTGATAGTTTATGATTCTGATTCTCTTTCTAAATGGAGGAGGTCTTTATTTCTGTAAGTCTGAGTCTGGTTTCTGTAAGTTCACATTTTATTATCGTGTAGTCACCTTTTATTTTTTTGAGACAGAGTCTCACTCTGGTTTCCCAGGCTGGAGTGCAGTGGTGCAATCTTGGCTCAGTGCAACTTCTACCTCCTGGGCTAAGGTGATTCTCTTACCTCAGCCTCTCGAGTAGCTGGGATTACAGGAGTGCACCGCCATACCCAGCTAAATTTTATAATTTTAGTGGAGACAGGGTTTCACCATGTTGCCCAGGCTGGTGTCAAACTCCTATTGGCTCAAGTAATCTGCTGGCAAAGTGCTGGGATTATAGACATGAGCCACTGCCACCTTTTAAATTAAAGCATGAAGTGTTAAAGTATGTGGCATTTTCTCTTCTATTTTGAAAGTGTTTCGTCATTCGGATTTTGAGCATGAAATAAACTGTGATGTACTGACGAGAAATAATAGAGATTCAACATTGTCAGAAATTTATATAATAGTTAACAAGAAAAAATTGAGCAAAATGAATGAAACACAAAACATACACAAAAATACATTTTATAAGCCTTTGCTCTGATATTGCACCATGTGAAACTTTTATTTTTATTTGATGCCAGTTTAAAGCATCTATTTTTGAACTTCCTAGCTGTTCTTCTAAACTATTTAAATTAGTATAATCCTTTTCTGGAAGGAATAAGCTACTCTTTTATCTTTCAGACTTTTAATCTCTTAAAAAATGTAACACACAATTATTTAAAGCTAAAATGGAGTAGTACTAAGATTTTTTTTTTTTCTTTTTCAGACTTTTTTCTTTTCTTAAATGTTATTGTGCCATCTAGAGGCGGCAAAGAGAATGTATTTGAAATTGTTGACAAAATTATGTTATAGTTACTGCATGGGAGCTAGAGATGCTAATTAAACATAAAGGAAAAGTTAATGAAATTATACCCACTTTTAAGTAGTTAAAGTTATGTTTAGGATTGAAGAAATAGCTTTTAAAAGTTAGAAAGCAATATCTTTTTTCTTATATCTTTTAAAAATTAATAAAATCCAATTTTTCTTGAATACCATCTTAATATATCATTTTATATAGCAAGTCTAAATTCCTATTTTGGACTAGAGTCCATAAAACTTTTCTTTATCTGGTTTCAAAGAGTTTTGAATTTTTAAAAAATGAGACATAAAGAATATACTTGTTCATAAGTCTGGGGTAGATACCAAAGTTTGATTTAGTGTACATCCTGTCATACCAGTTACTTACTAAGGTCTCACTGGGAGCAAGAAAAAGAAAAATTAAGCAGAAATTAGGTTTGCTTCAATGTTATGATCTGAAATAGCCGTTTAGGGCAGGAAGATTCACAGGAGCTGGTGTCTGTAGGAAAGCACAAAGAAAACTGAATGGAGTAGGGTAATGATTAGGTTCAAAGTATGTCTTAGTACTTTAATCAGTAATGGTGAAAATAAGGTAATTTATATACATTGATTTCTCTTTTGTTACTGTGTTTCATTTTCATAAAAATAGGAAACTAGAGCATTCATTTTCTTTTTCTAGTGATGCTTTTACATTTGTTTATATAAAACGTGCTGAATACCATCATAATATGTCATTTTATAGATTAAGATCGTATTCAGATCAACTTTGATTTCATTTACTCTGTAATTGAACATACATCCTAGTGATGTTTTTGTTTAAATAATTTTCAATAAGTACTATACTCATGTGGATCGAATGTCTTATTTATTTCTACACATTAACATGCAGTGAAAGCTAGAACTCCTACCCATTTCTCCGTCCCACCCATAAGTAACTGCTATTTCTTTCTTGCATATTGTTGAGGAGACCCTCGTGTTTTGGAAACAAAAAAATGAATATATGGTCCTATTTTCTCGCATTTTTGCACAAAGGTTGCATGCTGCACACACTGTTCTAAACCATGTTCTTTTCTGGGGAAGAACTTAACTAAGTATGTACTGATGATACATAGTTACGATGGATCTTAAAGAGGATGACGATGGGGGTAGTGGTGGCCAGTCTTCATTAAGTGCTTATGTGTCAGCCTCTCCTTGTTGTCTTTATATGCATTCACTTACCCAGCTCTTAAAACAGCCTCATGAGGTATATAGTATTGTCATCATCACCCCCAGTGGACAAATGCAGAAACTCGGGCACAGAGATTAAATGCCATGCTTACAAAGCTAGTGTTGGAACTGAGATTGGAATTTACAGTCTCATTTTAGAATCTGTGTTATTAATACCCCTGCTGAATCTCCTTTCTGAAATCCTCTCAAATCAATATATCAGTTTCCTCATTCTTTCTTATCTCTGGATATTATGTTTCTACCATAATTTATTTAGATATTTCTCTATTGTGTTTGTTTCCAGTGGGTTGTACAATATCATTTTGCACATTTAATTGAGCATCTGCGGGACGAATTCTCCAGAGTGGAATTAATAATCAAAGAGACCAACTGTTTTTCCTTTTTTATTAAACTGAGGTATTGAGTAAAGTGCACAAATATTGATATTTTTACAGAAGAATGTATATGAAGAAGATTTGTACCAAAGTCCTGGGTAGTGCTCTTGTGTTTCATTGTATTCAGTTTCTGCCACCGTCTCTAGATTCCACTCTTTTGATGTCTCTCACCATAGATAAGTTTGGCCTGTTTTTAGACTTTAGATGTGTGATACGTACACTTGTGTCTTGTTTCTTTCTTATCATTACGTGGATGAGATTTATCTTTGTTTTTGCCTTTAGCAGCAGTTTTTTTCTTTTCCATTGCTAAGTAGTAGTTCATTGCATGAATATGCCAAAGTTTGTTCATTTTATCATTGATAGCCATTTCTGTTTCTAGGTTTTGGCTGTCAAGAAAAAGCTGCTGTGAGTACTCATGTATATGTTTTATGATGGGCATGTACACTCAGGAGTGAAATTGCTAGGTTGTAGGACTTCCATACATTTAGATTGAAGTAGCTGAAGCCATGCAATTGACCAGAGTGGTTCTACTGGTTTATGGGCTCAACAGTTACGAGAGTTCCGGGTGCTCTACATTTCTCCCATGCTTGGAATTGTCAGTCTTCAGTTTTAGTCTTCTGATGGTAGTATTGTGATATATCATTGCCATTTTAATTTTCATTTCTCTGGTGACTGTTGATGTTGGGCACTTCTTTATTTTTTTATTGGCGGTTTGGGTATCCCCTTTTTGTGAAGTTTCTGTTCCAGTCTTGCTGCCTATTTTACATTTTGTTGTCTCTCATTTTCTTTAATTATTTATAGGACTTCTCAATACGAGTTCTGAATATGAGCTCCATTAGAGTTATGTGTTGCATATATCCTCTCCCAATTCATGCCTTTTTTTCCCTCAATGTTGTCTTTTTATGAAGAGAGTTTCTTAATTTTTCTGAAGTACAATTTCTTAGTGTTTTTTTTTTTTTTTAGTTAATGCTGTTTATGTCCTAGTTAAGAAATCGTTTTCTACCCCAAGATTATGAAGATATTCTCTTTTGTTTTCTTCAAGAACTTTAATGTG